CACAGGCAATTATGGTGGGTGGTCCTAGTTATAGTTTGGTATCTAAAATACAATGGTCGTATTCACCGCCTATTACATTCGGCGGTGAGATTATCATATAGTGACTGTGTTAAAATTCTGGGAGTGCTTCTTGACAAAAATCTATCCTAGGCACATCACATTCAGGAAGTAATTCGCAAACTGTTTGCTTCGGCGGCGTCCTTAAAGACTTGGGAATTATTTACCTATTGCTACTAAAATCGCGCTAGCGCAGTCTCTCCTCTTACCAATTTTAGATTATGCTGACGTCAGCTATCTTGATCTCACTGAAGAAAGAGCAACTAAATGAACTTGAGTGACTTCAGAAATTCGCAATAAGGTTCATATTTGGATTACGTAAATATGATCATGTATCAAAATATCGTCAAGAGCTCAAATGGTTGCCTATTCGACTTCGCCGGAGTGCTCTCATAGTTTCTTTGTTATATAATTTCCTGTTATATAGTCGTGCTTCTCCTAATTATCTTAAAAGCATTTCAAATTTCTTTCTGACACTCACTCAGTCTCAGTTTCTTGAGTTTACCGGACAACGCGAAATTCGCGATGCCTGTGCATTCCTCTCGTATTTGACAGGGGCTCTATTTTTGAATCATTCGTCTCGCGTCGAGCGCTCGTTTTCTACTATCACTCGCATACAACGTTCGCTAAGCGACGAGTGGTTCATACCATTCGTTGCAGTCGAGCGATTTAGAAATGGCGAATTTGTTAAGTCGAACGAAAATCAGTAGAAAACGAGCGCTCGACGCGAGACGAATGATTCAAAAATAGAGCCCCTGGTCCCTTACTGTACATGCCGCTCGTCTGTGGAATGAGTCACCGGATGCCGAGAGGCGTGCTGCCTTTTAATGTTTTTAAAACTTTAGTTACAGAATACTGTCTCTCACGTGCTGTACATTCAAATAATATTTATTGTAGACAGTAATATTAAATTTCTGTACGCTAAGTTTTTGTGCTTGTGTGTGTGTGTGTGTGTGTGTGTGTATAATATAAAGAATACTTTTGCTCAAATACAGTGCCCTAAATTTTACTCCATATCTAATGTCCTTTTAACGGTTGCCTGGAATAAATGCGATAAGCGATAAGGCCGTCATTTGTATCGGTACCATTCGTTTCTTGTATGTTCTCTTTTGTTGTACAATAAAGTTTATTATTATTATTGTTAAATATGTGCATTCTGTATTAACGTATTGTTACTTGAATGAAAAAAAAAACTTATTTTCAACATTTTATTAAGAAAACGGAAACAGTGAAAAAGTACATAACTGTAAATTGCAGTTGGTTATAATATTGTTTACATAAACAAATCTTTTACAGTTAAAATTTTTACTACAATTTTACTTTACTCTTAAAAATTAAAAATCTTTTCTAGAAATATTTTTAATGTTCACTTTAGTGTATAAAGGGAAATTGTCATTTAAATCGTTCCTATTTAATAAGAGAAGAGTAAAATTATAGTAAAGAACAGTTAGATATAAGCAGATAAATAATTTTTCATATTGATATAAATATAATATTATGATACAGGACAATTATCTCATTTTCTGAATAAAATTAAAACACTGAACTAGAATAATACGAATATTTAATGTGCTGTCCATTTCAGAACTTAGAACCAAAAGAGAACCTTGTTCATTGACCTCCAAAAATATAATCTACTTACTACTCTAAATACATTTAGGGTCGCGGGTTCCAAGCCTAATGGCGTAAGCTCTCCAATATATGTGCAGATAGAACGTGAACAGGAGTAATCTGTCATGAAGGTTTTATCATGTACTTAGTTCTTGGAAAAGGCACGCTGAGATCAATGAATCTGTGACATATTATTATAAATTAATGGCAGTAAATCATCAGTGATTAATTAAATTAAATTAAAAATTAGAATGATATTTTACTAAGGTTGAGGTTGTTTGTGTCTACATGTAGGGATTAATCTAAAACTTACTCAGATAATGAGACAATCGAGACTTATATTTCAGCATTAATTTTATTTATACATTTACACTTAGCATTTGTCCAATTGTTTTTCTAAACAACTTATTTTCCCGACAAATATTATTTAATTAAATAGAGACAATTTTAGCTCATCCATATTTTGTATTTTAATGATAAGTAGGATGTAATTTCTGTAATATGATCTCACGCAATTTCTGCATAAAATATCCTATAAATATAAATATGACGGCTACAACAGGTCTCTGCACATAATTTAAAATTATTTTGGATATAAGGAATTTGTGAATATTATTAAAATATCAAGAGCATTAGTGCGAGCTCTATTGTAATGCAAGTGTCTATGTAGTTAGCAAATATTATTTGGCACTAACTTTCGAAATACAGTTCATAATTTGGCTTCAATAAAGGAATATAACTTTTCCGATTTAAAGCAAATTGTGTAAAATTTAAACTCATAAATATTAATTATATTTCATATAAATTAAAAAAAAAACAAGCTCGCACTTAATACTTGATTTCTTGTAGACTGAAGAGTCCGCTAGCATTTTAACATAGGCATTAGCGTAACATTTAAACCCCGAGAATTTCATCTACAACATCTAATGGTGGTTTCACATAGCCCGGCGGCACTGCCGGCAGTCTGGCCATAGTACGCAAAGCTGCCGGAAGAAACGACTCTAAATCGACATTAAATTCCTAGATTGTTCTATTACTAATAAGACTTCAATATCGGTCTAATGAAAATCAGTTTATTTGCAGTAAAAATAAATTAACGAGTCTTATTGAAATCCGCGAACAAGCTTTCTCCTTTTATACGCAGCCGACAGCCACGTCGGCAATATGGCCGCTAGTTTTGTTGCAACCAGGGTCTTATTTTGTTAAAGTTATCGTAAGTATAGTGAGCTAACAACGCTTTAAAACAACTGACACACGGTTCTAGTTCAGTCTAGATACTAGATCACAAAATAACAAACATATCTGTCGCCACACCATAGATTTTATGATAACAGTGACAAAAAGCATATAACTAATACACAATTGAGATGTCATTATTACGATAACCTTAGTAGAATTGAGACCCAGGGGGACACGGACGCCGGTTCATGCCGCCGTGCCGTGCGGATCCACTACAATATGTACTAAGAACGATAAAATCTAATAATTTTCTGCACTTCTATTTACATATTTTACAAGGGAAAGAAATAATAAATAATATTTCTATACCTTTGATATGAGCGTCCTTCCAATATAATTACATCAATCTCGACAAAAAAAATTAAGACATCTTTTTCAAAATGAAATAAATGTACATGATATATACAATTTCAGCTGTGGTCATGTTCTCACTGTTGTTTAGTACTGATAATAAATCTCTGAATATTTTTTTTTATCATTAGCATTCATTCACCATAATTTGTTAAACATAGGAGGGCTCTAGAGTTAAGAAAGTATCATTAGTCTGTATAAAGAAATTTTAAAATAAAGGGGGAGGGATTCTGAAATGCAGCTAAAACAAAAAGACAGTTATCATAAATTTCTAGAACAACTTTTCGGTGTAAAGTAAGTAATGCTATTTTTAAATAATATTCATTAAAAAAAAACATTGTTTTTGTGTTTTTTGTTGAATAGTAATTCTACTACACGCTAGTTTACACTCATAGACCACAACTCTTAATTTAATGTTTGGCGTATTTTTGTAATGAATAACAAAAAGGAATTAACTACATATTTATCATCATTTAGAACTCTTGTCAAAATAAACAAATTCCTTTTTTAATATACCCCTCAAACTCGACTAGCATTATCTGTCAACATCAAGATATATACAACAACATTGAGATGAGTAGTTCTAACATTGAATGTATTAATTAATTGTTATTATCAGATTGAGACATAGATGGAGAATTTGTTCCATGAAGGCATATTGTTTCACGTAAGATCTTCTATTACTATGGAAATTTATTGATTACTATTATATATGTGTTTATTTATTTACCAACACTATTACTTGATGTGTTATTGTGTAAATTTTCAATGAACACTTAAATCTAGAAAGCAATCAGGTAAGTACTTTTCATTTCAATTTCACATACTTTTTCGAAGTCTGATTGGAATATTATGGATGCCGATTGACAAAAGCGCAGATCTGCCATTGTGGGTATGATGGGTATATGCCCACAAATCTAAAAGGCGTCATTTCACGGTCTATCGAGGTTGATTGCCCATATATGCAATATGACTACACATTGTATTGAATCTTGGTCAGGGCATCACATATCTCATTTGTCGATTACAAGCGAATTTATACTACGTCTCACACTTCGCTAAATGTTACAGCCCATTTCTATGAGCTAAATCCTCGCCTGCCATCTACCGCGTAACTACACTAAGATTTTCTTGACGTCGGAACGAATCAAAATGCACTCGACATTCAATATAATCATATGTAGTATCATAATAGTCAAAGAACTCAGTCATCAATAGGTCTCGGAGCACAGAAGTTCAAATTATATCTAGGTACCAATCAAAATATCTTGGCATGGCATCCTTTCTTAAATTTTATTTACTGCCTAACAACTCAATTCAGTTCGATTCAACAGCATTCTGTATTTAGGGTGGCCAAATGAGAATACTAAAATATCTGGGAAAATTTCTTAAAATCAGGATTACTTGGAACAAAAATTAAAACATTCATCCTTCGCCTCGGAAAACATTGATGATTAACAAACAAAGATAATGTAATTATAACTAGGTTGTTTCAGATATCACCTAGCAATCCCGACCATGTGGCATCACTAACTGCATTCACCTTGAACATAGTTAAATCAATTCGAAAAAGTTGTTAGTAGATAAAGAAGAAATGATGTTAAGATATTTCAATCACTTTGCATTTTTTTTTCTCTGCAGGCAACTTTGGTTGCCTGGCTAAAATTTAAAATTTGTACTTGACATCATTTTGATCACCTTGGGCGCTTCGATGATGCTTTCGAATTTTTTTTTCTTTTTCTATATCTGCGCTTTTTTTTAAGTATAATGTTTCAATTGCTATGACAGTTTAACGAACCTGCAACAATACTCAACACATTTTACGAGATGCAAGACATTACCCAACAATACACAGTTAGCGGTATAGTAGCTGTGATATTATATATGGTCTTTTGGAATTTAATTTTGTTGCTTTGCTGCTTTAAAAAAAACACAAGTTTTATTTTCACTCTATGTACTCTATGTAATTAAATGGAGATAATAATATTCCTTTTTTTTCATATGCAGTTACGCATAGATGATGTAAACATCTATGCTAATATTATAAAGAGTACAGACTTAAAAGACTCCAAAATTACTGGACAGATTTTAGAAATTCCTTTACCTAAGAAAAGCTACATCATACGCGGCTGAAAAACAGCTAGTAATATTGTAAAATTATGAATTCAACTTTCACAAATCATTTAATCTGGCATCATTGCTAACAACGCCGCAAACGTTGAATGCATTATGACTCAAACCAATATCATCAAACAAACCTGCCTATGCTCCACCTATGATTTATCTTATAGACAGTACCAAAGAATATGGTACTACAAAGAAGTTACGTAAATGCGGCTCGCGCGAAGTTATAGTAGCTTTAGACGACACGTGATAACTATAAGTATGTCACGCGTTCTTTAACCTCATGGCCCTTTCAGAAGAGCATATATTTAACATGTATAACAATTCACTCTTTGAAAACATTTTTCTGTTTTCAACAAATAAATTGTTTACACAAAACACTTAATTAACATTAGAATTAGGTATTCAGTTTTTTAGCTTCAAACATTCCACCCCATTTGGTCAAGTTCTCATTACACATGGAGAGTATTTTTTTACACATATATTTCTTGTTATAAGCAAAATTAATTTTATTTATACATATATTTATTTCCTAAAATGTAATTTTTAACTCACAGAAAGCGTGTTATTCTTATTTAAAAATACAATTCACAGCTTAACGCTTAACCAATGAAACGAAATTAATGTCAAGTTTAAAAACGCGTGTACAACAAACGAAGAGACAAAATTTAATTAAATTGTGTAAATAATCTTATCAGCGACACATTAGATAGTACAATTCTCTTGAATTTTGTTCAATGATTTCAAATGTTAATTTTTTGAAAGTAATGTTTATAATTGATGGCCGAAATTTGGGGTTTTGTTTTAATATGCTTCTTGCATGTAACAAACATCAAGATTTTTAATTATTATCTATAGTCACGCAAACTTCAAAATTACACGTAAAAGTATGAGGACGTGGCGAAATGAGATGACAATGTTCCATATAAACATATGGCCAGTTAAACCTTAAACATCTTTTATATTTACAATTCAAACTGGTAAAACTTAAAAATACATAACAAAATAGGTATGTAGCTAAGTAAGAGAAGATTTTACCAAATATTTGTGATTATATAACAAACTTCAAGCACAATAAACATCAACAGAAACAAATAATTACATGCCTTCTTAGATTCAGAAACAAAACGTGATGCGAGCCTGACACGCAAGCGCACTAGCACTGTCACGCGGCATCGTACAAGCAATATTCGGTACGGGCAATAAACAAAAGATATTTTAGGTAAACCGAAATACCAACAAACTTTTACTCTGCACGTATTCGTGTCAGGCCACAAAAACAAATTTTACTTCACAATGACTAAATAACGATTTTTTTATTATTTTCCTTTTTCAAGTTTTCAGCGCAGATTTACTCATTAAATGCTTAGGTAGTTCGTTCGTCACCTATTCGTAAAGCGAAAACAAAATTACTTTTAATCACAGCGAAAAAAACTAAGTTAGATCGTGTATCTCGAACTGCGAGGTGGGCGCGGCCCGCCTGCTTCTCGCGTCGCACGAGATAAAAATTTTTGTCGCAAGTGCACGAACAATTCACTCGCCCCGCTAGGGTCTTTAAACTTTCACTGAATACCATCACGCACAATAAACGCACTTGCGCCATTATAGTCACATATGTACACCGAACGTCACTCGCGAGATCACATCTACTCACTGAAGTAGCGCACCTTACCGCCGCCGCACCGAACCACGTCCTCCCATGCTGTAAATGGAAAAAACAATGTCAGTAAAACAAAATAATACAACGGTATACCAGTCGTGTTATAGATATAAAAATATATTGAGAGCCTGTATCGCGAGCTTCGGTCTAAAGATGATCTTATTGAAGATGTTGGAAATTAGCAAGTATCAAGTACAAGTATAAAGACAACATGAAAATAGCACCCGGGCGAAGTCGGGAGGTTAGGATTTCTTAAAAAAATATTGAATTGATAATACATGAGAATTGTCTATAGGCGCTGTTCAGTTAACAGGAAATAGGATTAAACAGTAATATACTGACCGGTGCAGACGTATTCTATGATCTGGTGCAGGTGGTGTGTGTCGGGCGGCGGGTCGGGCGGCACGTACCGCAGCGGCGTACAGCCCGCCACCACCGCGACCGCGCCGCCCCCGCCCGCCGCGACCGCCGCGCCCGCCACACCCGCCGCGCTGCCCGCGTCCAGCGCGTCGCGCACCAGGTCACAGCGGGGCCGGCGCGCGCCCGACCCCAGCAGCTGTTCGTTAATGTCGAAGCCGAACGTGACGCCGTCCATGTCGCGCGGCTGCGCCGCAGAATCGAGTAGTATGACGGCGGGCCGCCGGTCGCCCACAACGTCGGGGGCGGGGCACTCGGCCACCGTCGTCGTCGCCGGCCGCTCCTTCCGCTCGCGGCGCGGCGGGACCTTGCCCCGCGCCGGCCGCACCGTGCCGCCCAGCGCCGGGTACCCGTCGGCGTCGCCGGCGGCGGCGGCGGCGGGCGCGTCGGCCGTGCGGCGCACGCCCGGGTTTTCGCCTTCTTCCGCGTAGAAGTTGCACGATTCGATAAGGTCAGGAATGTTGTGACGGGTGCGGGCGATGTCGGCGTAGGAAGCGTGCGGAGCTGGCGGCGGCGGGGGCGGAGGCGGCGGCGGGAGCGAGTGGACCGAGTCGAGATCGTCGTTGGAGTCGTTGCTGCGGTCCGAGGGCGGAGCGGACTCGCGGCGGGGCCGCGGGCTAGGCGGGCGCGGCCGGCGGGGCGGCTCCCGTTCCGGCTCGTCGGCGCGGCGTCGTGGCTTCCGCCGCTTGGTGACGGTCTGGAAGTCGGTGAGCTCGGTGGCGGGCTCGGGCGCGACGTCGACGGAGGTGGGTTCGTGGTCGTGACCGGCCGCGGGCGGGGCGCGCTCGGTGTAGTAGAAGGAGTCGCGGGCGTCGTCGCCCCAGGAGCGGCGCTCGGCTTTGTTGTCGGGCCGGGGCTTGCGGTCTTGGCGATGCTGCGGTTCGCGCGTGTCCGTGAGATCTTCCAGTTTGGTGCGCGAGAGCTCTTCGAGCGAGGACGCCCGCTTCATCTTGTTCTCCTTGTCCTTGCGACGTTCGGTGGATCGTTTTTTCCCGCCCTTGTCGTCGGAGTCATCCTTGTGCTTGGTGCGGCCGAGTTTGGCACCACGCCCGTGCTCCGCGTTTGACTCGATGAAACGCAGAACCTCGTTGATGTCCTTATTACCTTGGTAGCCGTCGATCTGGTGAGACTTGATCACGGTTTCGTTCTTGGAAGACTTTTTCCTTCTTGGCTTCTTGTGTTGACTAGATCCCGAGATCGGTGAACTGAATCCTTGTACTGCATTGCCATTTTCATCTAGAGATTTCTGTAAACGGTAGTGCACAGTGAATATAGGCACCTGAATAGGAAGGAAAAACAACACGCATTAGAAAAACATCAAACATCGAATGTAAATTTAGCGGGATCGCATCGCAGCCGAGTGTGATAGCATGCATACTAGTGTGAGAGAGGGGGTGGTTGGGTTATAATGCGCGTGCGGCTCACCTTGTACTCGTCGGGCGCGGTGGACGCCGTCGAACCATAGTTAGGCCGCGAGAGGGACAGCCCGTTGAAGCTGCTTGAGATCACACTACGAGGCTGTGTAAAAGAAACACATCCAAATATTACCATTCGTGAAATTAATAAATTGATAGAAATATCTAATCCAGTTTCCAGTAACTTTATAACCGTAATTTTTTGCCTGTGGGAAACATATCAGTTTCGTAAATTATAAGATTATAAAATATTTGAATAGTACACGCTATTGATAATAAAATTCGAGATAATAGGGATGATGACTGGGTAAAAAAATGCAATTCTATTTAGTCCGTCAGTTAGATAATAGAAAAATATTAGATACGTATTTTTTTTTTTACTTTAATTTAACAAGAAATAGCTTAGATAATAGGCATTAAAGTTGAGGAGTGGGGGCTCGCTACGTCATAGTTGAGTAGAAAACGTACCATAACGTGACGTCATGCGAAATTTCAACTCCATGTAACGCCGTAATTTTATGATTACGAAAAAAATAAAAAAATACGTGTTTAATATTTTTTTACACTCTACCTGACGGACAAACAAACAAAAATTAGTCATCATCCCTATTATTACACACCATTTACATTATCATAATATGTCATACAATGCTTATTTTTTTTGTTACGGATTTGTCAGATGTTCCGCCAAGGTCTCGAGACATTGAGTGTTAGCTAAATATTGTAATATTATAAAGAGGAAATATTTTATTGTTTGTTGTTTGAATTGTATAGGCTCCGAAACTACCGGACTGATTTAAAAAATTCTTTTACCGACGAAGAAAGTCATGCGCAGGTGGCATAAGCTATAATTTAATAAAATTTTGTAATAAAGAAAAGATTAAGTCGTGTAACATTAGGTCGGGATAAAATCTATTCGCATATAGTACGCATAAACTTGTAAAAAAAATCTTACTGGCTATACCACTTGTATCTGGCTGGTATCGGTATAATAATAAAAAAAAAAAAAAAATCTCCGAATATAAATAAGAAAAATGTAATATAATCATTTATTTTTCTTACTGTCAAAATGAGTGAAGCTAATGAAGAAATTCAATACATTTAAAATTTTTATAGGTAAAAATGCAACGCAAGCCGCGAAAATAAAATGTGATGGTTATCGACCTAGTGCAGTTTTTTGGGATGATTCCCCATAAATTTAGTTTAATCTTTTACAATCCAGAAATATTGACGTTAAAGATGCACGTCGCTACGGTCGCCTTGTTACTGACAAAACGATTGCCTTTTTTGAAAAAAAGGAGCAAGATCGGCATATGAGTAGTTACGATGTAGCTGAATAACTGAGAATTAATCACATAACAGTTATGGTGCATTTGAAAAAAGCACGGTACATAAACAAGTTGGATATTTCGGTATCTTACAAGCTCACTGAAAGAAACCTAATGAACCATGTATTGAATTGTGATTCTTTATTACGGCGTAATAACACCGAACCATTTTTGAAGCTGATGACTGGTGATAAAAAGTGGATCACGTACGACAAGAACGTGCGAAAAAGCTCGTGGTTAAAGGTCGGCCAGGCTTCAGGCTGTGTCGAAACCCGAGTTATCTTACAACTAGGTGATGCTGTGTGTATGGTGGGATTGGAAGGGCATTATTCATATGAGTTGTTACAATCAGACAGGACCATCAATTCTAAACTCTACTGCGAACAACAGATGAAACTTAGCAAGAAGTTCAGAGAAAGCGGCAAGAATTAATCAATAGAAGGGGTGTGGCTTTTCATCATGATAACGCTAGGCCTCACACATGTTTTGACACTCAGCAAAAATTAAGAGTTTGGCTGGGATGTGTTAATAATCCTGACTTGCACCCTCAGATTTCCACCTGTTTCGGTCTCTTCAGAATTCTTTAGACAGTGTCAGGTTAACATCACACAAGGACTGCCAAAACCACTTATCGCGCTTTTTGATCAGAAGCCCCAAAATTTCCATAGCAATGGGATCATAACCCTTCCTATAACATGGCAAAAAAGCTATCTAGCATCACTTAAACGTAAATAAACTTTATTAAAAAATGTTTTGAATTTTCATATAAAATGCTATTACTAATAATGAATCCAAAAAAATATTTAGCAAACTTTATTTTCTTTGCTCTTAGTACCAAACAGTTAATCGGTAAAGTTGGTAGCTAAACCGATCCTATTCTTATTTGGCTCGTCGTTAAGAGAGCTCGGTGGCGTAGTGGATAAACGCCGCGGCCCGCTATCGTAGTCGTAAAGCAACTTTCGGAAGGGTCGGTCACGGGATGGGTGACCAAAAAAAAAATATTATCTCGAGCTACTCCGTGCTTGGGAAGGCACAGTCGTTAATACCCTCCAAACCACATTGGGCCAGCGTGAAAGGTCATGGCCCATCCTCCTTAACCATCCATAAGGAAGGCCTGAGCCCCTGCAGTGAGGACGTAAAAAGGGCTGGTTATGATGATATGGGAGCTCAGTTACGATAGCATAACTGTTAATTGATATTCAGTTTTTGTTAAGTTTTGGTTACGTAACGATTTTTTGCTGCCGCTTTTCGAAATGACAATTTCTTCTGTTTGCTGTAATTCTAGCCAATTGTCATGTTATTTCATACGACTTATATTAATCCGATTTCAATAATTCTTATTAGGACTATCTAGATAATTTGCCTAAATATGACTAATATTTAATGGAACCCCATGCTTTGCGGAATCCTAGGGTTCCACGGAGCACTCTTCGAGAAACGCTGTTGTAGATAATGGACTATTATCTGCATTATTTTTTGAATATTTAAGGCACTGATATTGCGGAGATCAGGGTAGGGGAATATAGTATAAGAATATCTATGGTATTACAATATTATTCATTTAATACCATTTCCATGTATAAATTTTCTTCTTTATCTCCAATATAAGTAGCTTAGGAAAAACAAAAAAAGATTAATGATATAAGTAACAAACACAATATTAAAATTTGTGCACTGATTATAAAATTTTCTGGAAAATGCCTGTCATTGGATGTTACTTAACGCTTTGTTCGTAAACATTCTTTAATGAATTTGTTCAATTATAGCGTTTTATATAAACGACGATTTCGCTGTATATTCAATATAGTCACGATACCAAAAAGTAAGTCCACAAATTACGCATAGTCCCGTATAAGTGTAAAATCGCAGTGACTTGATTGGTGTGCTGGATGATACCTGTGTGACGGGCGGTGGAGGCGCGACGGAGGGCGAGACAGCGGGCGCGGCGGAGGGGGGCGCGGGGTCGGGCGCGTCTCCAGTCAGACTGGACACCGCGCGGTAGCAGGAGCCCAGCTGCAGCGGCTGCACCGTCCACCACAACACTCAGACCCACACACACGCGCGTTTACCCTATCACTAACGAACTATGGCCCGACGGGACAGGCTTACGAAAAGCGGCGTAAATAGCACTTATTTACTGCTTGGTATGGTAATTGCAATATACTTTTTTATCATCACTCTCAGGCCACAATAAATATAGGGCATAGCAAAAACCATTGTTAACACAGTACAACACAAACCGCAGCCGACGAGCGACCCTGTGGCCGATTATGCTATACCGTAAATGCGAGTTACTTCACACGCATAACTAATTGAACATTAATAAAATTGTGATAATAAAACTACTTGAACAGTGATTGGCCTATATTTTGTTTTTAACTATATTTCACTTGCACTTGCAGTCATATTTGATATAGTCATAGTATATCAAAACGGTTAAACGACGGAAAATAAAATAATTGAGTAGCAAAACGACCATCATTATAATTATGATTTATTTAAAAAAATGTTTAATTCTCAATAACACAATGTCATTTCCTTTACATTTATAAGCATCACACGATATATATTGATTTACATATTATATAAAATATAAATTCAAAATACATAGAATTATAAAATTTGATAACATGTAAATGGTGTGTAATTCCACTCAAACACGAACATCGCATAAGCGTCTACTGTGAAGTTGTGATTACCTTAGGATCCACAGCCACAGCAGACTGGGACGTGGAGGATGTTGTGTTGCAACTGGACACAACCTCCGGTGTTGTGATGCAACTAAACGGTATAGCAGAATCGGCCTGTGAAAATAAAAAGTCGTCACTATATTGCCATGACATAGTTAAAAGAATTAATAAATGGATTTATTAATTTAATTAATGTACTCCTACCTCTTTATCAGTCTCAGAAGACGCCTCTGCTTTGATAGAATCATGTTTTAAGTTTTCAAACAATAAGACTTTAAGGGCTGTTTTGTTCATATTTTCTTTCTTTTTGGCATCAGTTATTCCAACTGTTCGATCTTTTCTCTTTTTCGATTTTTTTCCAGATATGTTAGTACTTCGAACTTCTATATTTGCAGAGACGTCGTTTTGAAGCTCTCGGATTGGTATTGATTTTTTTTCTGTGGACTGACTAGGTGTGAGTAAGCGGTTAGGCATTGTTAGAAAGACATAAGCGTTATGTTGCAGTTCTGATAGTATTAATTGATCATTAGAGGAGTCTTTCGAGTTTGTATTTAACTTTATAATGATGTCATTATCTGTAGCACTAGCTCCTTCATATTCATCATGTTGGATGGTTTTAGTAGACGTACATGGTTTTTTAACATCAGTTCTGTTGTTGTCTTTGTTTTCTTCTTCTCGGCTATTTGAGTTGTCATTTTCATTAATATTGTCTAGCTGATGTAAACCTTCTTCAGTGTAGCAATCTTCTTTACAGATTTTCAACTCTTGCAATAATTTTTGTTCTTCAGAACAATGTTGGTCAAAGGGATAGTTTTTTTCATCCTGATGATTAGAAACTAGTTCCTCTATTTTAATTTCTTCAGAATTCTCACATTTTACAGCTTCTTCTAATATTTGTAATAATCTTTTCTGATCTGCACAATATTGCGAAAACGATTCTTTATCAGGGTTTGTATTACATAGTGACATTTCAACCATTTCTATATTGTTACTATTTTCAGATGTATTTTCAATTATTTTTTTATTATGGATTAATTCTAAATCAGTCGTTTTCAGCTCTACCTTCTCTTCTAGTTTCTCTGTACACTTATTTTCTTTCATTTCTTTTAAATTAATAGCTTTATCAAATTTAGGAGTATCGTAATTATTTATATTGTTATCTGTGTTAGACATAGACATATCTTTGGTATTATCACATTTTTCAGTCTTCATTATTTCAGTTTGTTCATGAGATTTGCTTACTACTGAAATATTTTTAACATTTTCAGTTTTTAAACTTTTAACATTATTATCTTTAGTATCACTAATTATAGGAGCACTAACCACAGGAGTTGGAATGTTACCTATTGTCATCAACCTTACATTCCTGGGATTAATTGGGGATAAACTTCGCACTAAATAGCCTACTCTTTCTCTATATTTCTTTCTTAAAATATTAATATCACTTTCTTCAATATCACTTATGTTTTCATTTAGCTTGCATCTTCTGTCACGATCTAATGATCTCTTAGTAAATTCAGTATCTTGAAAACCACATGCGGGGCAACTCTTACGCATTTTCTCATTGGATGTATTATGAAAGAGACCGACGGGATTATTATTCATACTTAAGTGTGCATTTATCGGATACAGTTTATCTGTAGAGTTTTTAATTGGTACTTTCTTTACTAATGCAGGTAGTATATCATTGTTGGCATAATGATCCTTTTTCTGATAAATATTTTCTTTATATTGCATTATATTCAGTTCATTTATATTTTGAAGTTTCGGAGTATATACATTCAAACCTTCGTACCATTTATCAACACCGTTTATCCACATATCATTTTTCTTTTGAGGGATAGTTCCCGTGCTCTTATTTTCAGTGTATGATTTAGTGCGACAGGACGGTGGAGTCTTTTTGTTTTCAGACAATATTTCGATTTGTTGCGCTGATATAAAATTTTTATTATGATAAAATTTGGTTCGACGCTCAACCGTCGTTATTTTCTTTGCTGTGGATGGGGTCTTTTCTGACATCGGTTCGTTTTGAGAAAGATTTCCTTCAAATGGTCTGGTTCGACGGGTGGATGCTATCGGTTTGTTTTCATGGGATGAACTCGTCGATGCAGTTTTGTTTTCATTCGATGGCTTAGTTTGTCGGGTAGGCGGCACAGTTATGCATTTGTTCGATGGATTCGTTCGACGGGCAGGAACAGTAAATTTTTTATCGTTGGACGTTTTCATCCTATAACCTGACGGCGTCGTTTCGCTAACACGGAATGACTCAACCTGTCTAGGTGTCGCTCCGACTTCGTTACCGTGCCACGAATTAATAGGCTCCGGCGTCCTCATTTGTCGGGACGTTCCGGCAGCTGCCGTTTCACTATTAGGTGCGTACCTCAAGGTGATTTCGTTCCACGGAATTGCGAATTTATCGTAATCGTTGTGTGGGCCGCGCGGGTCACCGTGCTTGCGTCCTCTAGTGGCGGGGTGTCGTATCGCGTTCATGAGTTTCGACTGGTTGAGATCGGGTGGGTGCGGGTGGCGGGGCGGGCGTGTGGTGGGGCGGGAGGTACGCACCTGGTTGGAGGCGGTGGTGGTGGTGACCGCGCGGCCCGAGCTCACGCTGCCGCTGCCTATTTCGAGAGTAGCGCGCGCCGTGTACGTCACCGGGAACACCGGCTTACTCCTTCTGCGAACAATCGCCAACGCTCACATATTGATACATACATAAAATATATAAATAAATAATAGACAATAGTATATTGTAATAGTATTGTCTATTATTTATCCCTAGTTAAGTAGCTAATGCAGTTATATTATGGAATGCCAGAACCTCTGAGATGGAGATTAGTACTCTTCTTTGAACTGTTATTATATTATACTATATTATATAATAGCTCAGTTCACGAAGATTACGATGTAAATTAAAAATTAATATAAATTTTATACTGGAAGTTATGCTTTAACAACGGATACTTATCAAATAATAGAAAATACAAACATATGTTTATATAATTAATAGGGTTTATATAATTAATAGTTTATATAATTATTATATTCTTAAAATTGACCTGGCTGTGTTTGTTTTAATTTAGATCGGCAATTTAGGAATCTACTTTATAATATATAGGTAGCTGTTTGCGACTAATTTAACATGTTTCTGCCGAAGCGATGTCACATTGTGGTGGCTCGTGTTTAAGGTCACGTCACGTGATGCACAGGCAAAAAACTCGACTTTTAATTTAAAGCTCCCAAAATAATCATGCGATTTTTTAAGTCAAAATCAGAATATTTATGTTTATTTCTATGTACATTTATTTAATACGCAATATCGTGACTAATTTTTCAGTACGGAAACTAAAATATTAATCAAAGAATCAGTCTAACGCAGTTTTAAAAATTTTAAAGCGCTGTGCTTTTAATTAAACACTATTCAATACAATTGATTGAATAAAAAAATTATGACGAAATTGCAATCAATCTAGGTTTCGGATATAACAGATTTAATGAATTAGAAACATTTCTATATTATCGTTAATCGAAACGATTATTTTTCATTTAAAATTACTTTTAGATAATATTACACGAATAATTGTGTAATCATAAAACCAGTTAGTCAAGTATATTATGATGTTTGATGTGTTTTGTTAGTTGACCTGTGTAACAGTTCGATTTCCGCCGGACAGTTGGCGTCCGAGGCGGATACGCGTCGTTCGGCGAATGGAGGCGGGTTGACGCACCGCACTGTCGCCAAGTAACCAGCGCGCGTAGGTTCCTCGCCTAGCAGGAACGCTGCAATACACACACCACCATCACTCACAAAAATTCTTACTTTTATTCAAACATCCGAATAGTAGATAATAGTAGATAGTATCATTAAAAAAAGCAGAAAAGAATAAAGAAGGTGGTATTTAGAAGTGGCATTGTTCGAAGCCAGGTTGCAAACGCTCCATCTAATGAGTACAATGATTAATCATTAAAACTGAAGTTTTTAATGTGAATTTGTTGGCATAGTTTGTGAATATGGCCCTGCAAACCATTTTCATTGGATGAAAAACTCCTAGAGACGTAAGTCACTAGTCTCGGCTGCTTTAGTAGTAATTAGCACCCACTTATTCGGCCCTTATGGTGGATATTGTAACTTATTGTTACAATGTGATTGTATCGATAGGAAGGCATATGCCCCGGCAGTCAGGGAGCTGACTACTGCAAACGTTCTATCTAATGAGTTCAGCAAACAACTGTTAAGCATTAAAAGCTGAATAAATTAATACTGACATGTATCTACGCCGGACGGAAGACTGCCGCCGTGCGTGGCTCTTGCCGATACAGGCGCGTGTGGACGCGGTCGGCGTGGAGCTGGCTCGGCAGCGAGCGCGGCTGCGACCAAGTCTTGTAACGAGTTCGAGTGTGCAAGCGGGGGACGACGCCCCGCTCCCCTCCTAACACGACCACCCCCGCTAGAAGCGCGTGCAACCGCCTCGGAAGCTTGGTCGTCCAGCTCCGCCTCCTCCAGGAGATTCTGTAGTGAATGAAACAAAAGGTTCCGACTTTACAATCTATTTATTACTTCATTCCTGTCGATTCTTGCAGTAAGGTACTTTATAGAAAAATATTTCATTGTCTTGGTACAAGAAACAAAAAAAATGATATACCAACTTCTTATTGATTATGTAGTCAATAAATGTGATATCATTAATCAATCATGCCATTATACTACTTCTTCTTCGGTTTTCCTGTTGTACCAACACATACATGTCCACACTTCCCACATCAAATTCAAATAATATAAAATAGAGTTTACCTTGAATAGATCGCTTTTTCCTTCCCTATCCTTGGGACATTTATATGTGATAGCCTCGTCCAGCAACGCCCTCAGTCGTCCGTCATCAAGATTCTCTACGCTATCCTCCCCTTTGCTTTTCTATAAAAACAAATAAGTGAGTATAGTACAACAAGTAAATAGTATTTGTTAGTGTTTGGTATACATGACGCGGAATCCAGCTGTAAAATTGATACCCGATGGATATCGGACATACAGCGACTATCCAGCTGTAAACCAGATTAAAAAATAGAACATTGGTAGCAGTTTTAGCTTTTGCCTTTCAAACTGCCTTTTTAATTGTAAAAATAACTAAGATAATAGAAATAAACTTATTATAAATAATTTACAAGTAAAAGCGTATAACTCGGTTTCTTTGATTATATGTGACTATGAAAAACGTAAAAACAAACCAAAACTATATTTCTATTACTTTAGAGATTGATTATGTTTTATCTAGTGCACCAAATAGCAATGCCACACCGGGAAACCGGCTAGGGGGTATCAAGGTTGACCGGATATCTGGTATCCGGCCAAACAGCAAAAGATTCATCTCTAATAGGTACTTTTACTACCGAGGAATCTCTAATCAATACAAAATTGTTAGTTAGAGCCTCAAATTTCTTTCAATCTCGAATCCCTGAGTTTTAATACATATCCCGTAATATTATACATACTATGCAATTGAAGTCACTAACCCGAAATAGCTATATTGTTGGTATAAATAAAACTATAACATACAATTTTAAAATGTTTTGCACCACTATATAACGACTCCGGTTCAACTAACTGTTTTTTTTTTATGTTTAACTGCTTTGAAAAAGAAACAAATCTATACAACATATATAATAGAGCCGAAAATCTTTCTATACTTAAGTAGTAGTAGTGGTAACCAAGGTTAGAAAATAAATTGCGATTCGCTTATCAGTGTCGAGACGCCGCGACATCGAGTGACCGGACATTTAACGGAGTTCAATAAAAGTTGTACAAGTTTTATAAACTATTATTATAACTTTTAATATAAATAACTATTCTAAGTAGTTACGACCTAAAATATCTAATGTGGCTCGCCCACCAGAACTCCAGTAGCTCTTACAAATAAGAAAATTTCCAAAGTCTATGGTTCCTAGCTTTTATTTAAAGCTTTTAAATCTTCAGGGCTCATTATTGCCTGTGTGTCATCCAAGATGTACTTACGCTTGGTCTTATTAATAATTTGCAATTTCATCACAACTATCACATATTTCCACCTGAAAAAGTATCTGTTTAATTTGCAGTGTCCAGTTAAGGTTTAAAAACAGCACAGATATTCATTTTGCTGAGCTGTAAAAGCGCTGCAGTTAGTTTTTGCAGATACCCTTCAATTAGAGATTTAGCATTTAATAAATCAGTATTTTTAGTCTCTTTAAAGGTCATTCTTCATGGTTTGAATTACAAGGTTTTGAGAATGTCCATCCTGAAATTCCTGTACTCCGGATCTTACTAGTGACATTGCTAGAAGATCTATTTATCTATCTACATCTTCTATTTTTGCTCCTTTTCAAAGAATTTTTAAGTTTAATTTCTTGAAATAAAAACATTCAATCTGCACACCTCAATAAGCAAAACCTTTTGCATTTAGTAAGTCAATGTTTTTCATAAAGTAATGCTGTAATGGTTGCTACCTAATTATGTTATTTTAATCTAATTCTATGTAATATTATCTTCTTTAATGTAAAGAAACTGTTTACATAATAATACAATAAAGTATACCACCCGGCGTTAGTTCCATATCGATACATAATACACTAAAGTTTGTGCGGTCCTTATCTATCGTCATAGTATCAGCAGCTGTTATTAGCCGATAACGATAACAACCGTTATAGTTTATTACGTCACATTTAATTGTGAATGAATTTTACATTAGCCGTTACATGGTTACTTTATACCTGAACGCACATCCTCCAAATTACTATGTCCTAATACCTATCCAGCGACAAACTAAGGATTGAAATTATATTGTAAGTAAATAAGGTGTAGATTTTTTAAAATGTCTGTAATATGCAATATAATGTAAAGGTGATTATAACATTACAGAATTTTGGAAATGTATGTGCATGTTATTAAATTTAGGAAAAAAACTCAAACTGTTTTGCTTTAAATTATATCGTGATTTGATTTCGCTCACAATGTAAAGAAAAACTTAAAAAATAATGTTTATAAAGTGATTTGTTTCGCACACTAGAAACTTCTTTAACTTACATTCTGAATTAAAAACTGGCAGTAGATGATAATTTGCGAGTCATTGTCATTTATTCTTAGTACATATTTATCATCGTTCCAAATTTCAACTTGCTTGGATGAGACATAATTACAGTCGACATTATGATAACTAAAAACTGTAATCTTATCACTACAAAAGAGTCCTATTGAAATCTTTAGTTCTCACTTTACTTTTTATTGAAATGCGAAATTGCCCACAGCGTCTCGAAACAACTACAAAGAAGATAATACTTTAATCACATAACGGGCAAAACATCACTAAAGATTCCTGCGTCCGCGTATCTGTCGCCGCGTCGCGAGGACGCGTGCCAGTAGCGAGTAGGATTACGAAATTCTAGACAGACTGTCTCGGAGATATCACTAGACTTCACTATCCGATTGTAAATTAGCAAAACATTTTATATTCAAACACTTGTAATTAAAACAAATACTAATTGGTCCGATAGTTATCAAATATATCAATACAAAATCACGCTTTAATCTTTTAAATATTGACAGAGCTATAGAGTACCTACATAAAGTTGACTTGAACATCAAAATTGCATTGACTATTATTTGTTATCGGTACAGTATTCCCTTCCTCGTCGCCTATATGATACAACATGTTAGCGTTACCGTTTTTCGCCACCAAAACAGAAATGGCGACATTGTACAGTAAGTATATCAGACAACCTTGTTACTGATAAATAAAAGATTGAAGTAAGAACAACAATGTTTTAAAAAAGAAACGCGTCTTACACATAATCCAAAATAAAAACAAAGCTTGTTGTTTACCTGGTTTTAAGTTTATCTGGGACTTATTCCATTGTCGAAGACATGACATCAGCGAGTTCAAGGTGTAAATGTTGCAATGAGTTGCAAAATAAAGCAACGTGAAACAAGTGCCTGTAAAAAGGTATTATGAAATACCTCTACATAAAAATATCCACGTTGCATTTACTTGGTATTCTAATTAGTGTAAATATTACACGCCACTTTAATCAAAACTATAAGTATTACGTGCTACCACAGGAGCTACTGTCTACCAAAAATCCAAATAATGAATGATCGATGTAGCACTGCACACCGAAATTTATTCCTATGTGCAACAAAACTGGTCATAGTGTAATGTAAGTTAATGTCACTAAATACGCAAACGTTATCGTCACCCGTTTCATCATTGCATTATTAATGATTAAATAATTATTAAATTTGAAAAACTAGAAGTTCGAGTGGTGAAATGCGTTTTAAATATATCAAATAACCTTTAGTTTAATTATCTAATAACTCTGTAATTAGTCTACGTTATCTATACCGATTTCGCTATAAGTAGTATAATTGTCATTAGGGATTCTACTGATGTATTTCAACGACGGACAAAGCGAGAACGAGAAATCTAATACCCATACAGGGCATGAAACAGCAACTTAACTTTTAAGATTTGTCCACAAAGGGTAAATACAATTTAGATTTTTTCAATTCACCAATTTCATTTTGATTATTTTTATCTAATAAATAATACGTATCATACGCATGATTTTACATGGTGGGTCCTGTCATTTTGAAGGAATAATATACATTTTCCAATGCTTGTATGATGTATTTACAAATATTATATTTTGGTATGCAGCTCAATTGTGATGGCGAGTGACGTCACTGCGTGCGCCTCCCGGGGTCTCTTATAAAGGGTCAGGGCCAGGCTAGGAGCGGGATGTGAGATCGATTGCTCGCCCTTGTACCGATTCCTATGGTTGCTTCCGCTTCCCTACCACCTTTATGATTACGGTCATGACATTATGAATACATTGTCATATTAAGTTTCAGTTTTATAATAGTAATATTAGTAGTATTTATGAGTGAATATGTAAACTGTAATAATGAAATATCATATGTATAGTTTGTTTATTCAAGCGACAATTTTGATTTTCTCTTTTAGATTTTATAATGGATAACTAAATATAAAATATTAGCCGATTTCAGGCGACTTCCCTGCGTATATTAAAGTCTATATCACCCGCATAGGTATGATGTATCTATTCATAGGTCAAAGAATTTTTAAAATCGGTTAAATTTAAAAAGTTTCAGAGCCTATTCAATTCACACAAGCAAATCCTCCTTCTTTATAATCTTCTTAGTAATATAACTACTACGGTAAAACTGTGATAAGTAAAGCTAGCTAGATGAAAAATAAATATGATAAGACTAATACGTAGCAATCAATTACTTTGAGAATAAGCTTAAATTAAGTAAAATAAAGAATTTAATTATTTATCCACAAAGTTATCATTTAGGTATTGTAATTTTTAGCATCCATAAAATTAAACCAAAATATGAAACGGGCAAAATCCAAGTAATTTGTTTCAAGCACTTTTGACTAGTCGAAAAATATTCTTTCCCCTACCACTTCGTTTCGGAAGTCTTTTAGTTCCTTTCGCTTGTTCTTCTTACAAGCGAAAGAAACTTCATCATAAGTAATGACATTTACATAAATCATTTCATTACCATAATAGTACGTATTATAACAATAATAAATACAATATTCAAAGTCTGAAGAACATATGTTGGTACATATAATTAGTCGTTATAGAACATGGCGAAGCGATACTTAAAATAATCGTTAACTTTATAATAGCCTTTACTCATAAGTATGTTCTTTACATAAATATTTATTTTAATATATCAATAAAATTAATATTTATTACATTTTGTAGTCAATTACATTTTGTGGAACTTTATTGAACATAGTAATGCATTACCCAGAAATGACCCTCTGTTATTTTGAAGTTTGAAAAGCTTGGAACGGCAAGTTTATTTTTATTTCATGTGTTAAGATTATGAACACTACTTTTTTGTGAAGGAAT